TTTACCTGGAGGAGATGTCTCCACTGGTACGGAGTTCCATTTAACGCACCCTTTCAGCGTCTCCGTAGGAACAGCTGTGAATCGTCCGAAGTAGTGACGGTACTTGTTCGACACACGTTCACCTCCCGGTGGACTCACAAGAGGAGTAAGTCCGTCAGAGTTCCACTCAGATGTGGAAGATTGCATAATTCCCACGAGACTCGGAAGAACTCCGGATCATGTCTGGAACCTCCTGAACTCTCCAGCAATTCTTCTGTTCGGTTTGCTCTCCGAACTGAACTCGACTGCGCTCGACTGCACTAGCTCTGGTTTGAACTAGGAAGTGCCGACATTTAAAGAGTTCTATTTCCGGTTCATTTGGGAAGTTCCTGATTGGTCGATCGACCAGACGGGTGTGTTTTAGTGATGTAAGAGGTTATTAAAAGTCAGAAAAACAGAAAGAATGTTTTGGAACAGATTGAAAATGTTTTAGAGACAGACGAGAGAAATGTTTAGGCGAGTTGGGGGAAAACAGGTGCCAGCTTCTCTATTTACGTCTGAGAGGATTTAAAAACATGACAGTTCGTTCCAACAACTTGTTTTGCGTTTGACTCCGACATTTGACCGACATCACAACTTGCTTATTTAAGACAGAAAATGCATGAATTACTCCGTAACACATTCTAACTTGATCTCTACTTTGAATGAGGATTAAAAAATCACTAATACTGTTTCACAGATGATTTAAAATGAGTAGTTCACTTCAACATTTAAAAATGGTTTGAACTAAACACACTTTGATTATCAAGAAATTTGTAAAATAGTAATGATAATAAAAGAGAGTGTTCTTTCAATTGATCAGTGCAGGACAAGAGAAAGTCTCTGGATGAACTTAATCTTGTGTTTCTGGACTCAAATCAATGAAATACAGTTCTTGTCCCAGGAAGGCCCTCAAGGCCAGGACTTGACCTGAGGCTTAGTTCACTACAGTCCACCCTTTGGAAATCATCGCCTGTCCATGGGGATGAATTCCAACATGAACTTACGCCTTCGAATGTCCTTGAGCTTGATGTAATCCAGCAAGGAAAACAAAAGTAAAAGGAGGTAATCTCACAATGTTCTTGGAGGCGTGCAGGAGGCATCCTAAACAGATGCCCAAGCCACCTCAACTGGCTCCTCTCGACGTGGAGAAGCAGCGGCTCTACTCTTGAGTCCCTCCTAGATGACCGAGCTTCTCACATTATCTTTAAGGGAGAGCCCAGACTCCCTGCGGAGAAAACTAATTTCGGCCGCTTGTATCCTAGAACTCGTTTTTTCGGTCACAACCCAAAGCTCATGACCATAGATGAGGGTAGGAACGTAGATCGATTTGGTAAATTGAGAGCTTCGCCTTTTGACTCAGCTCTCTCTCTTCACCACGACAGACTTTTACAGTGCCCGCTTCATTGCAGACACTGCACCTATCCGCCTATCGATCTCTCGCTCCATTTTTTGCTCATTCGTGAACAAGACCCCAAGATACTTGAACTCCTCCACTTGGGACAGGACCTCCTCCCTGACCCAGAGAGGGCACTCTACCCTTTTCCGGCTCAAGACCATGGCCTCGGATTTGGAGGAACTGATCTTCATCCCAGCTGCGTCACACTTGGCTGTGAACCGCTCCAGCGAAAGCTGTAGATCACGACTTGATGAAGCCATTAGGACCACATCATCTGCAAAAAGCAGAGACATGATCCTAAGGCCACCAAAACGGATACCCTCAACACCTTGGCTGCGCCTAGAAATTCTGTCCGTAAAAGTTTTGAACAGAATCTGAGACGAAGGGTAACCTTGGCAGAGTCCATCTCTCACAAGGAACGAGCCCATCTTACTGCCGGCAATGTGGACCAAGCTCTGACACCGGTCATATAGGGACCTAACAGCCTGTATCAAAGGGCCTGGTACCCCATACTCCCGGAGTACCTCCCACAGGGTTCCCACAGGGTTCCCCGAGGGATGCGGTCGAACGCCTTCTCCAAGTCCACATACACATCTAGACTGGTTGGGCAAACTCCCACGCACACTCCAGGACCCTGCTGAGGGTGTAGAGCTGGTCCATTGTTCTACGACTAGGATGAAAACCGCACTGCTCCTCGTGAATCCGAGGTTCGACTATGCAAAGGACCCTTCTCTCCTGAACTCCCAAATAGACTTTACCGCGGGGCTTAAGAGCGTGATCCCCCTGTAGTTGGAACACACTCTACTGTCCCCCTTTTTGAATAGAAGGACCACCACCTCGGTCTGCCAATCATGGGGAACTTCCCCCGATGTCCACGCAATATTGCAGAGTCGTGTAAGCCAACACAACCTTACAATATCCAGAGCCTTAAGGAACTCCGGGTGAATCTCATCCACCCCTGGGGCCTTGCCACCAAGGAGATTTTTAACCACCTCGGTGACCTCAGCACCAGAGATTGGCGAGCCTGACCCAAAGTCCCCAGGCTCTGCTTCCTCAGTGGAAGACGTGCCGGTGGGATTGAGAAGGTCTTCGAAGTACTCTGCCCACCGACCCACGACATCCCGAGTTGAGGTCAGCAGCACACCACCCCTACTATAAACAGTGTTGGTGGTGTACCACTTTCCCCCCTGAGATGCCAGATGGTGGACCAGAATCGCCTCGAAGTCGTGCTGAAGTCATTCTCCATGACCTCTCCGAACTCCTCCCCATGCCTGAGTTTTTGCCTCAGCAACCACCTGAGCCGCATGTTGTTTGAACTGCCAGTACCCATCAGGGGATTCTGGGGTCCCACAGGCCAAAAAGGCCTGATAGGACTCCTTCTTCAGCCTGACAGCATCCCTCACCGCCGGTGTCCACCACCTGGTTCAAGGGTTGCCACCGCGACAGGCACCAACAACCTTGCGGCCGCAGCTCTGGTAAGTCGCCTCGACAATAGAGGCACAGAACATGGCCCCCTCAGACTCAATGTCCCCTACCTCCCCCGGAACACGTTCAAAATTCTCCCAGAGGTGGGAGTTACGTCGTTTTCCCACCTAATAGTCCGGTAGACTCGGTTCGGTTGGGGACCATTATTCATGACATTTTGTTTACATTTGAGCTGGTGCGTTTGCATTCACACTGCACTTTGCAGTCGAGTCAATCTGTTGAACCAACCTATTCCCCCGCTCGCCTGTGGGGGCGCTGCACAAAGAATTACTGAAAGAAACGACACAAAAACCATTGAAGACACGTCTTCTTCTTCTTCTGTAAATAAAAATAAAAACGAAGTAGCATCAAATTTTAGCAGTTTTAGGAGTTATATTTTGTCATTTTTCAAAAATGGACTTAGCATGAGCAGAAGATGAGACAGAAGACCATGGAGAATATTGTTTTTCCACACAATGTAGCTGATGGCTCCATATAAGGTAAGAGAAATTCGTGTTTGTTTGTCCTGCAGAGCAGGGCTCGGTCTGATTACATTCACACTGTACTCGAACCGCGCTGGAGTTCGCTTCTAATGGACTGAGACCTATGTTTTAGCACGGGCCAGAGTTCGCCTTTTTGTTCCGTGACAGAGTTTGGTGGCGTGTTCACACCTCCCTAAACGAACCGGACTTTCTAGGAAAACGAGCTAGAGTTCAATTAAAGCGACTAAACAGGGCTGGTGTGAATGCACCCTCAAAGCTCCGTCTCACAGGAGACTGCCAGACGTTCCCAGCAAACCCTCACAATACGTTTGGGCCTGCCAGGTCTGACGGACATCCTCCCCCACCATCGGAGCCAACTCACCACCAGGTAGTGGTCAGTGGACAGCTCCACCCCTCTCTTCACCCGAGTGTCCAAGACATGCGGCCGCAGATCAGATGAGATGACAAAGTCAAACACTGAACTGCGTCCTAGGGTGTCCTGGTGCCGAGAGCACATATGGACACCCTTATGCTTGAACATGGCATTTGTTATGGACAATCCATGACGAGCACAGAAGTCCAATAACAGAACACTACTCGGGTTCAGATCAGGGGGGCCATTCCTCCCAACCACACCCCTCCAGGTCTCACTGTCATTGCCCACGTGAGCATTGAAGTCCCCCAACAGAACAAGGGAGAATTACAACCATATATAACCAGTCTCTCTACGGCTCTGCTGAAAACTAGATGCTGCCGAGTGAGAAAGGGGAATTTGATATATACTCTGTCAGTCTGTTGGTCTGTCCGTCCAACCACATTTCCTTTTTGGTGAGTGGTTGCATCTAGGAGTAAAAAAGGTTTGTTTAAAATAATGGGTTGACGCATTAAAATCCAAGATGGCCACTGCCATATATTTATGTATACCAGCCACCCTTATCATTTAAAGAAACTATGCTTTCTATTTTTTATATTGATTTGAAAGCAGTTTCCTCAAATGACTGGGGTGGCCAAAGATTTATCTATGCGGGCCAAGGCCACCATCGGCCACCCCCTGGCTCTGCCACGGCACCTTGTGGTGGGTAAAATTGCTCCCTCCACTTGCCAGGATTGATGCTCACTGCCTCAGACAAGAAAGAAAAACTCCCTCTGTTCTTCTCCATGGTGTAATGCCTGCTCACTTGAATATCTCACTCCAAAAACATTAAAGTTTACTTACATCCCCTGCTCACTTCCCGTCCAGAAAAACACTCATCTCAAAAACTACAAACATTCACTGTTCAAATCCTTCAATGTACTGTACTGCTTGTGGACTGTTTTTGGAGTATTGAATGTTTCTGTCAGATTTATTCAGGAATATAGAGATGCCCTCCCAGGTTTGTCTGGCCCTGTTGGAGCTGAAATGAGTTGGTTTCAGTGTGGACGAGTGCGAGAGACAAAAACGTGATGCAAGCCAAACTTTCAGCGTTGGAGTCAGAAGCTTACAGCCTGGCAGGACACACCTTCTCCCTCACCAGCGTCGACGACATAGTGCAGGTCAGACGCTGTTTTTCTGTGCCGCAGCCATGTTTTTGTCTTGACTGTAATTCCATGAGGGTATGATAATAACTCATTTTGATTCATGCTCACACTGTAGGTGTTGTTCTTGGAGCTTCATTTACCTCCTAATGGTGATGCAGGTGGACCAAGGAGTAAGAAGACTCTGGGTTACACCAGGAGAGGTGGAGGCAGAGCACGCCTTGGGAAGCACTTCAGCACCACCAAGGTGTGGCCAAACAACTTTATACAAAATTGTTCTTTCTTCTTGCAAAACTTATAACATTTTATAATTCAGAAAGGAAAGTTTATTCATACAGCATAATTATTGCACACCACCTCACTGGATGTACGTCTACAACTGAATAACTTTTGTAGTCAACCAAATTCAAAATGGCCTCTAGCAAACACAAAAATGGCTGTAAATCAGTAAATTGTACAGATATTAAGCTAAAATATGATGTGGTTATAGCTGAGAGTCAACCCCATCACGCAATTTGACATAAAAACGTGTAAAATCTTTGTTTAACACTTGGTCGTGCAAGGAGCAGGCGGTATGCATTTCTTCAAAGAATGCTTGTTTATTCAGGTGAGTCATAGTCCAATATGTAAAACTAGAATATAAAAGTATAAAAGTAAGTAGGTTGAATGAATGATTGAATCTGTGATGATTTAGATTATATGCATTATATTAGCAGTGCATAGAGAAGATGTTTCATAGTGTTTTGAGTATCTCACAACTTCAAACTAAAAATCTCAGCAACTTCTAAGATCTGAGAGGTTTATGTTCCACCTCAGGATGTTCTGGAGAAACTCCGCCCCCTGCACCCTTTGCCAGGTGTGATTCTAGAGAGGAGGCGGATCACTAACACCCTGACTAAGGTGGTCTTCCCCCTGCAGAGGGTGAAACGGCATCATCCTACACTGAAGATGGACAGAATATATCCAGTCGCCCAGACCCACACAGCCACCGGTAAAACACACAGAAAGATCTCGGACTGTGTAGATGTTTTGTGAAATGTTTTGTTTGAAGTACATAAACAAGAATGGATGTAGCCCATTATGTCCTGTTTTTTTATATTTTCAGGTAGAGTGAGCTTTACTGAACCAAACATACAGAATGTCCCCAAAGATTTTGAGGTTTACATGCCCACAGTGATAAGTGAAAGCCCACCTTCACAAAATGCCTTCCAGGTGACTCGTAAATCAAGGTACGTACCTGTTAGTACAAATATTTCTGCTTTTAAAGCCTTTGTTGTTTTTTTTTACTTTTTATTTTTCATTTTTCAAACATATTTGGGCATATAACAGAAAGGTAAACAAACAAACAAATAAGTAGAAAAGAATAAACAAAACCTAGAAACAAGTATACCTGAGGGAGTTTCACAGGTACATATCATTTCTTACAAAACATTGTCGTCTGTCACAGAGTGTGAACAATTGTTCCATTTTTTCCAGTATTTTTCCCCCCTGTGCTGTTGTACACGGAGAGAATAAGTCATAAGTTCCATTGATCTTATCTGCTCGATAATTTGTATCACTAGAGTTGTTGTGGGAGTTTCTCTTCTGAGCCAGCACTTTGTGATGGCTTTCTTCGCAGCAACAAGGATAATCCTGAATATATACAAGTCACTTTGGTGTAGTCCCCTGGGCGGTACACTAAGAAACAGTGTAGGGAAAGACACATCCACTCTAATATCTAACACAGAGTAGATAAAGTTATTCATCTTTAAACAAAAGTCAGTTCTACCTGGACATGACCAGAATATATGAGCATGATCTGCCTGAATAGGTCCACACTCCCTCCAGCAGGAGGGCTGCACAGCTGTTATCTTTGATTTCTGTACAGGTGTAATAAAGAAACGGATCAAGCTTTGCCAACAGAAATCTTTCCAAATGAGTGAGTTAGTAGTGCAGTTTCCTGATATTTCTGTTTTTAGATCTTTATCCCATTGTTTTTTCACATGAAGGTGAGTTTTATTATCAGTTTAGATTAAGATTTTGTAAAATTTTCCTACAATTTTTATTTTTTTGTACTACCACTGTTGTAAGTATCCACAAAGATCTGAACTAGGTTAGAGGGGTTTTCAGTCAGTGCATTCTGTATTTCCTTCACAAAGTAGTGACGGAGCTGGAGATATCTAAAAAAAAATCATTTTTCTCTAAACCAAATTTGAGTGAGAGGTTTTGAAAACTCTCCATGTGGCCTTTGGAAGTAATATTTCTGATTGTTGTTATGCCCAGTTGCAACCACTGTTTAAATCTATGGTCATGAACTGCTGGTTGAAAGTGTGGGTCGCACACTGGCCAGCCCAGGATCCCAGTTTGTCTATGAAGCTGAAACATCACTACGATTTGTAACCATATTCTGATGGATGTCCATAAACAGAAGTTCCCATGCTGAAGAAGTGATTTTGCACAGTGTACACAACCCAGTACTGAGTGCAGTGGCAGTTCAGTAAGAGAGTGCTCTAGTCCTTTCCATTTAGCCTCATAGGATTCATCACACCAAAGAGCAAGCGGTCTTAATAGAGCTGCAAAGTAATAATATCTGAGACATGGCAAAACCAAGCCACCCCTGTCCTTTGGCAACTGAAGGATTGTATATTTTATTTGTGGTTTTTATTTAGTTCCACTCAAACGTGGATATGCATTTGTCCCATTCCCTGAATTGACTTGGGGGAATCTCCACAGGTAGTGCATTAAAAAGATATAATCATTTAGGTAAAATGACCATTTAATTGACCTGAGTCTTTCACCTATGTCCAAGGGGAGTGAGCCCCATCTGTCTAGTTCCCTGTTAATTTCCTTTGTAATATTTTCATAGTTGCTAACAAAAAGACGAGAGGTCCCTTGGTATACACACCCCCAGGTATTGAATACATGTTGAGTTCCAGTTTAAATCATATTGTCTGACTAAGTCTTGAGAGGGGGTAAAATTGAAAGAAAGAACTTGAGTTTTATTAACATTAAGAAAGTATCCAGAAAGAGATCCAAGTAATTTGAGGGCATTCATAAGTAAAGACACTAGAACCTGGGTTCAGAAAGGTTACCAAGACATCATCTGCATATAAACAAATTTTGTACTCTGTGCCATTTATGTTTATACCTTTTTAAGTTCTTCTTCCTGTCTGATCATCTGTGCTAAGGGTTCGATAAACAAGTTAAAAAGGAATGGACTAAGTGGACATTCTTGGCGGCAGCCTCTTTAAAGTTTTATTGGGTTAGAAAGACCACCATTTATTTTATCATCGCAGTTGGAGCAGAATATAGTGCCTTAATGGACTGTATAAACTGTTCTGAGAAGCCAAATTTGCCCATTGTTTAGTAAAGAAATTTCCAGCTGAGTCAAAAGACTTCTCTGCTTCTAAGCTGAGAAGGACTGACTAGAATTTGTCTCTGTGATTTGATCTATAATGTGGATGGTTCTATGTATATTGTCATGTGCTTGACGGTCCTTAATAGAACCTGTTCGGTCTTCATCTATAAGAAAAGACATGGCCTCTTCCATTCGTCTAGCTACAATTAAAGCAAAGAGCTTGTAGTCGACACTGAGAACACTAATAGGTCTATAAGACCTATAGTCAAATTTATTTTTCCCTTCTTTATGAATTACGGATGTAAAGGCCTCTTTCCGTGAGGGGGGAGGGGCACCACCCTTTATAATGTTATTAAAACTATCTTTAAGTAAGAGTAGAATTGGTACTCTCATCAACTTGTACCCAAGGGCGTCAGAAGCATCCGTAATGTGGGGAGGACACAACAATGTGTGTAGGTGTGTGCGCACGTTTGTGTGTGCGCAAAGAAGTGTACACTACTGTACAAAAAAAGCAGCATTTCACCTATATTACCTTTGATTCCACACATTTAAAGCATGTTTCTCATCAAGTTTGTGTAAATTCAGCTGTGGGTTTTAAAGACATTTTAACTTTAATACACTTTAATACACAGCCTCAGATCAGCACTATTTGTCTTTATAGAAAAATAAAAATAAAACGTCACCACTGGACTTTACTTGTGTTCAACACTACTCATCTAAATTATGTTTCTAATGAAGCTTGAGGACAATAAGGTGTGGGGTTTTAAAGACATTTCAACTTTAATGCACCTCAACACACAGCGTCTCTTACACCTGCAGCGTCTCTTACACCTGCAGCGTCTCTTACACCTGCAGCGTCTCTTACACCTGCAGCGTCTTACAGCGTCACAGTTACTACTAAGCTAAGATGCTACAGATGTAGCGCTCCTCTCAAGCATCCTCCTAACATGAAAATATGTTTATGAGCAGCACCCCTGGTCAACAACTGCAGGAGACTCTGCAGCTGCTGCCTGCACAATTTCTGCTCTGTGTGCAGAGTTGGAGGTAACCAGGAAAACCTGGAGTCGAGTTTTAGTGGCTTGAGTATTCTCCTATTGATCAAGTGGAATGAATTTGTTCATGCAGAAAGAGAAACTGCGCCGCCTGAACTAATGTTTCATAGTTGTATATATATATATATATACTGCGGGTCCACATTCATGTCTATGTGGAGAGGCGTGTGAAAACTGTTGATGCCGCGGGAGCGCGCGTTTGACACCACTGCGGTGAGATGCGTGTCGCTCCTGCCGAGAGCGAGATACGTTACTGGGCTTGTACAGCGATCTCACGTTTATGTTGACGTGAGCTGCGTGCGCTGAAAACTGCGTGCGCGCCTTCATAACGCAGCGCCGTATGGGTGAAGGCTGCTCGCACCGCGGGAGCACGTGTTGGCACGGCTTCGTGAGGGGTGTGCAGCTTGGGCTGAAAAAACGAGTTATTCCACTGAGACTCGTTGTGCGGGCCACATTCATTTATGACTGTTGTGTCATGCGGGCGTCTTGTTTGGAGCGACGGTGATTGAAACAACCTTTAAAAGGCCACCGGCTCATTCATGTGTGTGTTGGGGGGGTGACGGAGCCGCTGTCAGGTCATCCGAGCTGACAGACTGGCTAAAAAGACACTTTCATCATAAAATGATGTTTTATTCCCACATTCGTGTCATCTTCACACACATCCAGCAAACCATCATTGAGTCATCTCCCCCTGAGCTCTGTGGTTTGTTGTCCTAGGGCGCCCTCTGTTGACGATCTCCAGGAAAAGCTGAACTTTCGAATGCCGGGGATGTCTGCCGGGCGAGGCTGGCGTAGCAGAGCGAGGAAGCATTGTGCAGCCGTGGAACATCTTGAAAGTGATCTCTCGTTGATGAGGGCCCTCCAACAAAAGCTTTCTGCAGCTCCTCCGAGAGGGAGGTAGAGTGACGGGCCAGGTGAACCTCTGGGAAACCTCGTCCTCCGGCTGCGATGCAAGACCGGCAGACAGCAAAGAGGCGCACCGATTGAGGATGATGTCAGCTGCCCTGCAGAGGGAGCGTACGTATCCTTCCGCCTCTTGAACGTTGTACGTCAACAGCGTAACGTGCTGTTCGCTGCGGCCGCCTGGAAACGCACGCTGGTGAGCTTGGTTGGAGAGCAATGTCACCGTCTGGTTATGCTATCCGGAGGCGCAGGACGCTGGTGCAACCTGGACATCTTTGCTCCGAAAAAAGCCTCCGTCAAGGCTCGGCTCCCGGGGGCACTGAGGGAATTTCCGCTCGGAGAAACCCCTCCACTCTGGCGATGGGCGCGGATGTGTGAAACGGCGCCCTATTCTACCAGGACCGGTTGCAGCCTCGTCCCAGTCACCACTGGGAAAACGAGGCCAGATGGGATCAGGACAGCGAGCCAGAGTGGAGCCCAGAAACCTTCCCGCTGGATCATCCGAACTGGCAGGGGAGGCAAGGGACGGAAAAAAGTCCCTTCATGTCAGCCGCCTCCTGGATTAAGCCGGGCAAACTCGAGAGGAGGGCGCCGGCGGCTGGGAGCAGTGTGGTCGCCGATGCGAAACAAGGTGTGTGTGTGTGTGGGGGGGGGGGGTGAGCATTTGCTCAGCCCCCCTCTACCGACACTACGCTCTCCAGGAGGGAATGAGCAGTGGGCGGCTGCTGCTGACGTTGCCTGTCCCGGAGGAACCATCCGATTCGCTCCGAGGGTCGGCAATAAGATGAAAATTACAAGATGGCGTCGTCCAGCATGTAGCAACCTGCCACTAAGAAATACTCCTCGGCACTTACCTTGAAACAAAACTGCTCGTCTGTTTCTCCTCGGGGAGGAGAACTCCCCGGGACGACATGGTTGACGTGGCGGGGCC